CATGCTATGTTTCTTATTATTTTTACTGAGCACAAGAATTGCAGTAGTTTGACGTGTTATTTTTTCACCCAGGGATTCACAGCCCCAATGACAACATTAAGACTCTTCTAAAGTGAATCAAACTGCCTTCGGCTGCACGACGGAAGTACAAAGTTGACCGTCTCAATCTTGAACAATAATTCTGGAGAGCGACAACGGGACCGATCCAAATTGGATATACCCTCGTGGTTACTGTAGTCCTCTCACCACCATAGTCCAGACCACGTTCATTATAGTCAGTCATTTCCTGCCGGATATCTGACTTCTGCTTGTTCAGGACAGATAGCTCCTTAACATTCCATTTTACAGAAGCCCTTAGTTACCGCCTCTTAAAAGTCTTTTGCCCTTTTAAACCGGCCGATACCTAATTCTTGAGGGTTTGCTTTCGCTGCTTGCCAATGCGACCAAATAGAGAGAGTGCCCTCGTGTCGCCGCCGACGCTATCAAAGACAGCGTCGCGACTATGACTGCTGTTACCACGACAATAACAAACACAATGAGGTTACCTCATCATCCGTGTGCTACAAAAAAGCAAAAAGACAAATCGTGCGCCATTAAAGGCGAGTACTGTTGTTATTGCCATAGACGCCTGCTTCACTTGTGTCGTTAGGTCTAGGTAACAGACTAGCCGTTGTGGCATCGTCAGACTTCAATACCGCCGATGGAGACAAGTCGGGAATCGAATTGGGAAAGAGACGGAACTGATCGGGGCGACTCAACGGGACCCCAACGGTTGAACGACTGGACTAACGATCGATACCACACTGTTCGTTGCTGCCACCCTTATCCCCGACAGTGCAGCTAACACCGCGGCAACCACCGTTTCCTTGACCCTAGTATCATCCCTGCAACCGCCACTCCAACGTGAACAATTACACCCACTACCTATTTTAATGATGTATTTTGGCCTTTGAGCGAGGCTTGACTCGGAACGGTGCCTCCCGCTTCTGCTACTACTTGAGACCGGCTGGTAGATTCGGGGGGTGCGCAGGGTGGGTGGAGCCGATGAGCAAGAGCAAAAACAGATAGAACGGGGGGGGGGGAGCAGCAGTCTGCCCACTCTTCCCGCGTGTTACACAGTGGATGTAATACGGAAAGAGCTACCAACCACAGTTGAAGACACCCGCATGTAGTGTCTTTTCACGAAAGGGGCAGTTGCGGTACGAGGTCAGAGAGAATGCACCGTTCGTTTTCTATTTCTTATTTGGCTCTTTTGTCGTTTTGATTCCAACGAGTCGAGTGCTGCGGCGTCGCATGAAAGCGAACGGACGCGGAATATCTTCGAAAGGAGTTTTATAATTAGTCATGCCGCAGCGTTGTGAGGCAATTTATAATCCAAAAGGAAGACTGCAATAAAATGCACATAAAACTCATTGGCTTAAACAGTGGTTCTTATTATTCATATTTAACGAATACTGCTAATAGTTAGCAAGCGTGATCCTATTTTAATTTCGAAATTATAGGATAGCTACGCCTGACGCATCGTCGACTGAACTCCTAAGTCAGTGACGGCTGGAATATATCTTTTCGTAGCAACACTTTACGTAGTTTAACTACGTGTATTAGTCATGTGGGTACTGTTGTGGATATGCCGGACGTAGCCCGAACTAACTAGACGATTACTCAACGTTTACGGTAAAAATGTTATTTCCAACGAATGTGATAGCATCGCAAATTCTCGCACCCGCTTCAAGTTCTTATTAACCGATCACGAGCCTTATCAGTTTATGATGGCCTAGCTTATAGTCTCGTATATGAGATAAGCATCACACGCACGTCCACAGAAATGACAGGCAGACTTGGTCTAGAGACTAGAGGTAAGGCGCTGCAGTCGACACGAATATTTAAACTTTACTGACCTTAAAGTAAGTTTCTTTCTTGCGGTTACTTCGAATTAAACGACGTTATTTTGTTAACGCATTACTATTACTGGCAACTCCAAAATATGCTTCTCTTAATAGGCTTGCATTAAGCATCCTTTCTTTAAACTTGAGGCTATGAATTATACAGATAAAGGCATCACATTAACAGAAGGGCCTAATCGATTGCCATTGCTTTATAACTGCCCTATAGGGATGTGTATGTGCGCGTATTATGCCATTCTTTTGCTTCAAATATCGCAGTGATAATGCACATTTTCCTGGGAGTTTTTTTTTTTGTTTTCAGTTGGAAATTCTTTTTAATAAAACATTTCTCATCTCGCAGTCGGGCGCTGTTACTTACAGCTTTTATAAAGCCCAGAGGCAAAAACCGAGGAGGCGATAGAACATCGTTCCCATATAGCTGCAAGATGCATACACACATAATCTACTTGCTGCATACGTGCGATTCGATCACAAGATGTGACTAAGATGAAAAAAAAACACTCTTTCATAGAGTTCGGCAATGTCGTATACTGAATAGTCTTATTTTAGCTGCACAAGCCGACAGATAACGAGATGACAATGTTCGCCACTCTGCGGCCATTTTGTCGCAAACGATAACGATGGTAACGGGGTGATTGTGATTACAATTATAGTTATGCTCTAGCTCGTACAGTCGTTTGTTTCGCACCTTTTCATTTACCCCCCGATATGGCCGTCTGGTTGTTCCATCCGCATAGCCGCTGTCCTCCACCCAGGTTGATGTTGACTGATTTTCTGGTATGTCGACTCTCCCTGTTTTGCATCCTATTCCCGCCATCGTCATCATCATTGTCGGCGTCATAATCAAAGTTGTTGATCGCGAACGTTGCACACCGCGCGCGCACCGCTTGAATTTCTGTCCAGGGGGTTGGCTAATATGCCAGTTACTAGTTGGATTGGACGGCGGTCGAAGAGTGGTATAGTAGATATATGAAGCCAGGGCAGCAGGTGGCTCCTTCAAACTCTGAGTTGCTCAATAAGAGTTGGCCACCTTTAGTGGAGCGTTCGTAAGTTAAATACAGAGAGTGGTCAAGCTTTGCTAAGTTGCTAGTCTGTCGTCCGATAGTAGGCCATCCCCTCGCAACATCCGGTGGTTAAGGAATCAAAGATCAATCAAAAAGTCCTGAATTATAGGGGGTATATCACCACACTGCATGTATGTGATGGATGCAAACTTCAATAGCCACTTTCTGTTCCCCAGACATCCTTACATATTGCAGTTGCTTCTAGAACACTACGCAATATTTGTTCAATGCGACCATCTACAAGATATCGTATGCGACAGATCCATAGAATTAAAGGATATTTCTACTTATAGTATTGTATATACATATAATATTATAGAAAACAATATTCACGTATGGCTCAACAATTCCACTTAACAAATTCTGACCAGTATATAGTAGTAGTATTTAGTATAGAATATATTACTAGTTATAAGACCTTCGTTCATCTTGTCTAGAATGAAATCGTCGATTTCCTGCTGGCAAACTAGCAAATGCATGTCAAAGACCTTATTGTTTGTTAGCTTAATTTATTTCCAACAGGAATCCTGAATGTAAATACACTTGCTTTATTATTATTGCCTCTTAGGCAAAACCCCCACATGACCTTTTGCTTATTTACGCCACCGAGGTGTATTTTAGCGCACTGCCCTACTGTGCTCGTGTTTAGCTCCCTGCATACGTGAATCAACAATGTCTTCTGCAACAGCCTGTCAAAGGTACAGATGCAGGAAGCATTGCGTTAGTAATGGGACCTGGCGATATAAATATAATAGAAATGGAAAAGCGTATGTCACAAAAAACATCTGTGCGCCCGTTCATAATAGCGACTGAGACAACGATGAGGGCAAAAAGGCGAAGGAGCGCAAGCAACAAAACACTTTTACCATAATCACCATTACAAGACACCAGAGATATTAAACAGCCCCTCAGAAATCAACCAATCCAACGACCCTTGTTTTTTGCCTCTTCCTATCGTCGTCTCGCCGAAATGCAATATTGTTATTAATTATTAATATAGGGCACCGCTTAATTCTGCCTTTAACACGTGATTTTTGTACATATCCTCTACTACAATGGCAGTCATTTGTCGTTTAGACAATGAACCGCTAAAATCCTTTATCACTCCTGCAATAAACACATACATACGGCACACAACATCCTACACAGCTCCTACATGTATACGATAAAACAGGTACTCCTATAGATGATTAAAATGACGTGTATGCTGAGAACCAGAAGCGTAATACTAGCTTCAGTGAATGAAGCAAATTCGAGAACCAGCAGGTTTATATTGCTTCAATATTACTCAAGATAAATGTCTAAGCAAAGGCAGTGGCAGCGGAAATAATAAGAAACGCTGCATGTCGTCCACTAACTGTCATCATTGTTGGCCACAAATGCATTAGTTGAGTAGTTCAGATTAAAAAGAGGTTCCGACGAATGGCCAATGAAAGGCATTGAGGGTAATACGTTGCGTTATTGTGGATGCCCTCATTCGTCAACAGATACACAAACATACATACACACACACACACGCACACGCACGCCCACACACTAAAAGATACAAAAATCGTCACACATCCCAACGGGTTTCATCATGGCATCTACAGGAGTTATGGATTCTAAGAATATCCAGTAGTAAGCATATTATATTGAATTTAGTCCAAAAAACGAAATGCCCCTCTGCGTATCTGTATACCTCACCTCTCAACGTGTATCCGCCGCGCAGCTAAGCAATCAGCCGCAAATTAAAGTTTTATCGAACGTTTGCCATGGCCGCAATGGCGCCTAGCAATAATGCGAGTTGCGGTAAGGCCCGCGTTATACTTCACTGACAGTGCTGGAGAGGATAATGGCAGTTTGGTCACCCAACTGCTGTGTTATCAGCGTTCTTGCTGCACATGTGCTCTTTTCTGGGTTGGGTTCACCCGATATTAATATTAGTTTTTATGAGTAGTGTAATTAGGCAATGCATAAAAAACCATTCACTGTAATGACATTTCATGGAAGTTCGGATGTCCGATTATTGTCATTGATTGCTGTTATTTACCTTTCCGAGGAATTTGCCCTTGAGGTACGTGATCTTGGTCTGTCGATCGATGATGTATTCAGGCACCTCGATGGTGTTGTTGTTGTTGGCTTGAAGCTTTGCCGATTGTCGCAAATTATCTCTGGCGAGATCGGAACCGGATAACACTTCGTTCGGGGTAACACAGCCGGAATCGGCGCTCCCTCCAGCTCTCAAACCATCATAACTTCGGCCACCCTCCAAACTGCTGGGTGTACTTCGGCGCGATAGAGAGCGCGATCTCGACACAGTAAGGCTCTCAGCTTTTGGACTCGAGTTCGGTGTCGTCAAGTGATAATTGTGTTGCTGTTGTTGTTGTTGCTGCTGCTGCTGCTGCACCGAAAGGACACAACCGAGCGAACTCATCTCGCCGAATAGTTGTTGTTTGTCACGTGCGATCCAGCGTGTTTCGAGGTTTACGTTCGAAAAGGTCGCTGAAGTTGAGCTGTCTGCAGCAAATCACATTGACGTTTCCTGTATATGCACCGACGGTTCGCGGGTAGTGACAGCGATGGCTTGAACGGATTTAAGGGGTTAAGCCGCACAGGGGTACAAATGCTGCAGCAGCAACAGGTCTAGTGGCCCTGTCGTCGGGCGGTTATCGCCTATCAGTGACTTGAGTCTCGTTACTAGACACTATAACTTTTCGTTCTTTTTTTTTCTGCTGCTTCTAAGCAGAAATAGCACCCAAAACTCGTTCACACTTTGCCCATTATAACAGCTTAATGAATTTCACATAAAGGTGACGGTCACCGACATTGCAGCTCCTACTATAGCTTTTTTGTAGTCTCTTTCTCTGCAAAATATGAATACCCACTGCGGACCTAATAATTTAGGAACAACAGTGAATTTGACAACCTAAAAAAAAAACTCGTTGTCAACTTGATAAAATCATCAAAGTAATCCGATCATAACGGGTCTTATTCGCCAGAAATCCCATATATATTTGCACGCTTCAAACGAAAATAGCTATAACGTGAATTGTCACCGATAGAATTCGACCTGCTTTAAATGTCGCCAGCGCATCAATGGCGCTAACAGGATAAACCAATCCTAATAATAACTGAAACTAGAACTAGAAGATACTGCTAGCACACAAAGAAAGCTGGCCAGATTAATAGTGGACACTTGCTGAATCTTTTTTCGCTCTAATTGATCACGAGACGTTTACAATTCCACGAATCGAGTAACGAGGATCATCGCGCCGTATCGACGTCACGAAGCACCGTAACGAAAAACGAACGAACAATTGCAATCCGGTCGAATAGTCGATTTCGTATTGAACACTTGTCACGCGTATTTGTACACACTGTATATTATTATTAAATGGCTTTCGCTCAGTCCTGTTATCTCGTTACCTTAGCTGCCCGCAGTTACTTTGATCTCACTCCTGCCACTTTGTGTTAACAGTAAACGACGCTTGACAGCGTTTTGATAGCAATGGTTCCTGGACCACGCTATCTGCTTAGGGCGCAAATGACAGGTAGGTTAACGGGATGTAATTACATGGTGACATCCGTTCTTTTTTAGGCGGACTATGCACACAAATTGCCTACGACGTAACTCCAACTCCTAGTGCGCTTAAGCAGTTACCTTTGCTGACACTGTCGCTCGATACGAAGTCACAGTGTTCGTCCAGAGTACACTCTCGAGCTAACCGCCTGACTGCCGGCAGCGGAGCGTCGTCTTCACGTCGCTTCGCCCCCGCTGACTGAACACATGCTTGTCGCGTCTCCCAAACAAACTTCGTCCTCACTTAACCCGCCAGGCGGCGCTGGCGTTTGACTAAGACTTGTCGACAGTAGCGCCATCCGTTGGCTAAGCAGGGAAGCAGCTGCTATCGATTGACTAGATGGTCGCTGCCCCTCGATGGACGCTCAGTGTGTAGACAATGGCGGCTGGTGGATCTTACAGATGCACCGGAACGGGACAAGGGACGGCAGGGAGACGGACTTGCCACTACTTTGAATTGTGTGGCGCTATACGTGACACTACCGGTGGAACGGAGTCACCGTTCACCTGAAGAAATCTTCGCTAGAGCGGCTACGGGGGACGCGAGAACGGGGTGATGGGGGTTGTACGTACCGCGGCTCTGTTGTGCTGGTGCTTTTCGAAGAAGGGTACACGAGCCCAGGTGCCCATTGGAAATGACCGGAGGCCCACTAGCTAGCTAGTTCGTTGGTTAACTACGTCGGGTAACATTCTATTGGACAGAGGTGGGCAACTAATGACAGCTGGTACGGTGTACGTAATAGGAAGACCAAACTGCTAGCTGAATGACACCTAGATGAAGAAATATTTTCAGAATGTTGTCAAGGCCTGTTTTGTGTGCGCCGGACGATGGATGAGGCTTAGGACAAAATAGGACGTGGCAAGCTTGGAGGCGGGGAGGGGGGGGGGGGTGACTCGTTTCATGTGTTCAGTCCTATGGGATAGTTAGAGTGGAACGTACTATTGCAGCAGTCTACGATGCGTGTGCTAGGCACGGGCTATAACCGCCGTTAGCAGGCCAAAGCGGTGCAGGCGACCCAATTAGGGTCAGTGGCCTTTTAACTCGACTGCCAGAGTGGATGCACGACGCAGAGAGATGCCGTCAGGCGTGAACTAGGTTCCGCAGGCCTTCTCGTACTGCTACTGCTGTTGCCACCACCAGCGTACTTAGTATTCGCGCAGTACATCTACGGACGCTTCTTATGTCATACGCTGGCACGAACGTCGTAAACCTGGCACGAGGTTGGGTAACCTGGACGAACTTTCGAGCGCTTGCCTTACAAGCGCTAGGCGTCTTTGGCTGAATGCCAAGCTGTGCAAAGGCAGAAAGCACAAATAAATACGCAATGACAAAGGCGCACGGTCATACGTGCGAACTTGAACGTGGGAGCTAAGCAGAATTCAAAAGAAGGGCTTAAAAACAAAGTACGTCTTTTCTTCTAGCGCCGTTGTATTATTGATGTACATATATGTGTTTTTAGAATATGTGGACTACTTCACCGAACTCTATAGCGCTCTGTATTCTGGCGATGCATCTTTAAGGGTTCATATGCTGCTGTTAAGGTCTGCTATTGTCTGTTGGAACATTTGACGCATTAGAGTATCAGCTGTCTATCAAACTAAGAAGGTGCAAGACGCCTTCACGCTCTTTTTGATATTTCATTATCGACTTCAGCAGCAAGCTGATCCAACAACCCGCATAGGGGTTACACCGGAATAGAGTCGGAGTATAGGCATTTTATTCGCAGAAAAACGTCTTAGCTAGCCACTTTAACGCAGTGTATAAACATAAGTATAGTCACATCTATTACTTGTCTTTTCTTGCTACCCTTACAGCAAATCTGGTACTAGTATGGATATTGCGCTAGCGTTGTTTTTGATGGGCTCATCCTTCATCATTCAGGGCTACTCGCCAGTGGATAAACTTGCTACAAATCAACGAACTACTGAAAGGTCACTCGAAAGCATTTATCCAAATAATTATTTGGTTAGCAGAAAACACCAAGACGCTCAGTACTAGCTCACATGTTTAAGCGAGCATAATTTGTAACGGTAGCCCTTCGAATCTACGGAATATCCTTTTTTGTTTCTTTCTACATGCACTTATTTTCGTAACTGTCAACGCTTATGCAGGTAATATTAAGTACAAATACCATATATATATATATATATGCTAAATGGTGATGCTGCAAAAATATGTTTTGTATCGGTTCTATTTAGATGGAGGTCAGCGAAAGTCCCTTGTACAGTTTTATCCATGGTGCCGTTTCGTTTGTGGCCGTCGTCGCCTTCCTGATGTAGGTCAGGACCGGTTTCTCGTTGCTGTTACCAGGCCAGACGGAATATATATGTTTCGTTCTCGAACAGGCAATGCATTATCTTGCGTTGCTTAAGAGTCGAACAATGCGCATTTAGATTAGGAAAGGTCGAGCGACCTATAGTGCTAATGTCGACCGTGTCGCTGTGAGCAGACGTCGATTCGAGTCCGATGCGAGTGCGTCTGTGGCCGATAATGAACCGGCTGGTTTTAGGTGATTTAGTGAGAGCAGTGATTTAGTGACTGGCCTGCGTCGCTGTTACCTATCCTGCACACTCGATTATTTGATTGCCGTACACGAACAATGACGCGACGGTACGGTCGTGCAGACAACCGCACTTCACTGTCGTTCAGAGGAAGGGGTGATATTGTTGCAGTGGGCACTGCTGTGCCGACTGCTGAAATCACTGTTTTGTCCATTTAGAGCACCGGTAGTTGCAGAAGCAACAACGTCGCCATAAATGGTAGCGGAAGTAGAGCCGATTAAAGTCGCTATTTCGCGATATAACAGCCATAACCGCCGCTGCTAAAAGTAGGCTTGATCTATGCGTGCAATATAGGCTTGTATATATATATAGAGCACGCATTACACAGTACGGAGTTGATACGATTTAACAGGTTCGTCCAATAACATTGGGAACTTTACCTGTAAGTTACTGAGCTATGGGGGCGACTCGTGTTTTAGCGGTTCGGTTGGAGAAAACAACCGTATCCGTTTCAGTACAAGTATGAAGCGATAATAATTCTGTAATATATAGATGACGTTTTTCCTCCATCGCCTCCTTTTCGGTAGTGCTATTGAGTTTATACTGGTGAGATTTGCGATTACGGCTTTATAGACATACTGAGAATTGGGTTATTTAAAAAAATAGGTCTATTCAATCCAGCTACCTTATTAAAAGTCTACAAGTTTATATATTGTGTAGACTATATCAGTCCACTATAAATATGGCTCGATGATTACAATTTGGCCAAATAAACGTTTCGTCTAAAAACGAACTGCGCTTAGAGTGTATCTACGTTTATATTCAAACCTCGACGCTGCATTGGTGTGACCCTATAGTATTTCTGTCTGTATGAGCTATAGCGAGTTGGTATCGTACGGTCCGCTGTGGTCCGACCCGCTGTCAAGAAGACTCGTGCTAGGTGGGTAGAGTAAGCAATCACGGCAGCGGTACGTCTGAAACGGCACGAGATATGCCGCCAAATAGATCGGAGTGGCCTGGTTGCGTTTCGGTTTCGCAGCCAACTACCCTTTTGTGGGACCTTCTCGTGGCCTGACCCGGAGTATTACTAAATAACACTGTTCTAAGTAGTACTGCAGAGGAAGACCCAGCGGCTGTAATTCGACCACGACTAGGCATATAGCATAGGGCAGGTCAGAATGGGAAGTTGCGGTTGATTATGTCAGTTGTTAGAATCTAAGCCCGTGTCAAAAGGCCGCAGTCTAAATCCAGCGTAGGTCAATAGAACATCAGATTGACTTAGCAAAATGATTTTGTACTCTCGAAAATGAGAATTTCCTGATACGGATATGCACAGTGGTAGAAGTATTATTATGATTGCTAGACGAACGGAAAACCTTCGAGTACTTGACTGTTGACAATTGATAGGTTATCGTTGATATGATAACTTGATTTAAAAGTGACCTTACAAGTAATCATTGAGGACAATTAAGGGCTAAATGTAGGCCAATGGATTGATTAAAGTCAGAGAGTTTTATTGTTATGACCACAGTAGCAGCATATGATAATATCAGCAGCGGTCACGTCTATAATAGCCTACGAGTGAAAATCTAATTTTCACTAAATGGAAACCTTTGGATTTTATCTTATCCTATCTGAACAAGGCCAGCAGTGCTATAGAAATTGAACAGGCTAAAACAGCTCCTATATTATATAAATAGATTTATTAGTAACTGTTCGCGTGGCTTTTATCTGAACATACACCGATCTGTTTAGGTATCATAGCGAATTAAGCGGACGGCTGTAGTAGACACGAAACAGCCTTACTATATAACTGTCTAATGTTATGATGATTCCAATTAACGAATCTCAACAAAAAATTCTGAGGATTAAATTTAGGTGAGAAGCTTGTCAAATCTTGACCGACGTCGTTGGTATTTTGCAGGTTCTAAATGAGCACGCCAACGGCTTAGGGCTACAATAGGAAATATATAGCAATAATTAGATAAACCGAAACGCTTCAAGTTGAAATGACGGGAAACGTAAATAACTTACAAATGGCGAAAAAAATGTGACTCAGATCGATTAACTAGATGCTTCGTAGATGGCAGCCCTAACAACGATTGCAAATTTTAAGCGGCTGGAGTTCGTAGCTGCTTTCAGTCGATGGCAGCTACTGAATTTATCATAATAGTGAACTTTACTTGTCGCATGAAGGTTGCCGATGTCAACGGTAAAAGGATTAGTGGAACTTTAACTTTAATAGAATAACGTAGGTTATTCTATTTGTGCACGATTGTGTCGCTGCTTGTATGTTACCCAGAATTCGTTTAGATTCTTCGCAGGATAATAATAATGGTAATAATTTCTATTACCGTAACGCACTGCTGCCACTGTGACTATATAATGTGTTTGTAAGGTTTTACATTAATTCTTTTTTATCGACCCCTTCCAATGTTACCAATAGCTGAGAAGAGGTAACTTTCGAAAAATACCTTACCCCGGCAGATCATCTTCGCCAGTAACGATCAACACGAGGGACCGCCTCGTCCCATTCTGTCACCCCGCTAATCGAAGGTTTTCTGCGCCGATGGGAAATCCGTCGTTGTTACCGAATGCTGGCATTGTATTATGTAAATTATTTTCACGGTAGTCTGCCTGAATCACGTGTCTTCTTTTGCCCATGATTC